TCCGTCCGCTCGGGGTTGTCCGTCCGCTCGGGGTTTGTCCGTCCGCTCGGGGTTTATCCGTCCGCTCGGGGTTTGTCCGTCCGCTCGGGGTTTATCCGTCCGCTCGGGGTTTGTCCTTCCGCTCGGGGTTTGTCCTTCCGCTCGGGGTTGTCCGTCCGCTCGGGGTATCCGTCCGCTCGGGGTGTCCGTTCGCTCGGGGCTTGGCCGTGCCCAGAGCAATTTGCCCCCTTAGGGGGCAATTTGCCCCCTAAGCCACATAGGTGTTTTGTCTTTAGGGGACCCCAGGGAGCTGGGCTGGAGATTAAACGTGAAGCTTGTACAGAGGCTGCGAAAGGCCGGTTAGGGCACGCCGGCACCGCTTTATGTCACACATCAAGATGAGTTCTCGAGGTCTCTAAAAGTTAAGTGTAAAGAAATACAACCTTTAACATGTTAGGAGAAAATGTAGGCGACGCGTCTCCATTTTATGGTATGAACCGCCTTCCTGAGCGAGGATAAAACTCAGACGTCACAAAGGGTAAAAGACAGATTTAACAGCGTTTAGCTATTTTTAAAGATTATTTATGCAGACAAGAGCTGGGGTGCAGGCCAGAGGTGCAGGGGGTGAGAGGACTCCCCAGAGTCAGAGTGGGGAGCAGAACAGGTGGAGCCACTGAAATCCACTGCTGAGGGGAGCAGCGGGGAGACAGCCGCAGTCTGCTGCGCCCTGGGGGTCCCTCCCCGCCAGGGACCCTACTCTTGCTGGCAGACTCTGGTGGCAGTGGCTGCGGATAGCTAAATAGTGCTGAGACTGAACCCTCTGCGCCTCCAGGAGCCCCAGTGTTTACTGAGGTGTAACAGGCACTCCACATGCCAAGTACAGTGCCTTGAAGTTTCCCAACGTGAAGGCGCCCACACAGCCAGCGTGCAGATGCGGAAGCTAAGCACTGCAGCACCCCAGGTCCTGCTCCCTCTTCGCCCTGTGTCAGACTGATAACTTGACTCTGTAGAAAGTTAAAACTCTGGGGGGTCCAAAGACACCACAAATGTAGTTAAAGTAAAGCAACGACCCAAAAGGCAATAACACACAATCCTTTGCGATCAGTAAGGGTCACATTATAAAAGAGCACCTGGACCATGAAGCAGGAGGACAGAGAGTCCAACAGAAAAATGGTCCAAGGAAGACTGCAAGCGGCCAGCAGCGGAGCAGCCTGCTGGACATGCCCCGCGTGCCGCTGGCCTTTGATGCACGACTGAGGATTCTCCGGCCCATTTCTCTGTGCTTCAGGCACGGAGCCCCTGCAACAGACAGCGCATTTGCTAAGCTTCCCCCTCCATCCCGACTCTCTCTCAGACCTGCGGTTCTCCGGCACCGGCACCTGCACCTCCAGCCCCACACACAGGCTTCCAGACAGCCTGGATTTGACTTACCCTCTAGAGGACACGTGCTCAGGCCCAGCCACGGGGTCAAGTGCCTGAGCCATGAGCCACAGCGGGGGGCAGGAACCGGACAGGGGCTGGGGAGTGGCAGGACCAGAGTGAGGCGCCACGGGAAGGAGGAGGGGACCCTGGGGTCAGAGGTTGGGGCCGGCGCTAGGCCCCATCCTGCGGCAAAGGCCAGGGGTGGGGAGGACAAAGTCAGCCCCCTAGGGCATGGGACAGTCTGCGGAGGCAACGGAGCATGTGTTGGGCAAGGCCAGGGGTTATTCAGGGAGGTGACGGGGCTGGCGGACAGGAGTGGCTGGCCAGGAGGAGCAGGCTGAGTCAGGGTGGGGGCTGAGTCACCTGCAGAGTGGCCCGGCCTTGTGTTCACAGAACACACATCAGGGTCTCGGGGTCACCAGTGCCCCCAGAGTGCAGGTGGAGAACCCCTGCTGTGAAGTGATTAGGCAACTTGTTTTGTTTCTGAGGCTGGAGCGAATTTCAAAGCCAGAAGCCTTGGGCTGCAGTGCTCTGAGCCCCCCTTATAAGGCTGGCTGGGCTCCCCCATGGGGCGGGAACTGTACAGACGCAAGCGTGTTCAGGTGGTAGCGTGTGGAGACAGCCAGACCGACCTGTCGGGCTCCGGGACCCTCAGCGCTCAGCTTGGCACCACCACACTGGGTCCATCAGAGGCCACAGGCTCCCTGGAGCGGCCACGGCCTTTGGCCAGGTCGGTGAGCAGCCTGGCAGGTCAGTCCCCTGATCTAGTCAGAAACAAATGTTTCCCCCCCCAGAAAAAAAAAATTCTTAAAAATTCAGAGAAGTGTGAGAAATGGTTTCTAGACTGTGGACCCAACTACAGAGGAGTTGGCTAGTGGGCGTCATCTACCCCGCCGCACTCAGTGTCACGCGGCGGGGGACGGTTCTTCACAGCACGTACCCGGGGACTGGGCCGGGGAGCCCCCCGGGCCTCCTTCCGCTGGGCCACACTGTCGGCATCGAAGAGCTGGCTCCTGGCTTGCCTGGTCTTGCCCCCCGGGGTCACCCGCCCCAGGGTCACCCGCCCGGCCCTCACCTGCAGCCCATCAGCGTCCCACCCAGAAGTTCAGCTCCAAGCAGACTCCCCACCTGTCCGGGCAGCGCCCCGGGGCAGGGCCCTTGGCCTGTGCCTGCCAGGCTGCTACAGCACCTGCCTGTCCCCCTGTGCCCTTTATCTCACCTGGTTCTGAGCCCTGACGGTGGTTTCTCCCTCGCACACGCCCTCCAGCCCTTTGATGGTCTTGCTCCTGCGCCCTGGGACTTGCGGGGCAAAACTCTGACGCTTCTGCACACACTCACGCACGCACTCCTGTTATGACTGTGCTGGAGGAAAACATACTGACGCGTCCACTGCAAATTCATCGTGGGTCTCTGGAGTCTTCTGGGGTCATACTGTGTGTGTCCGGTCAGGTTTCTCCTGCTCTCCACGGGGACCAGTTCCCATCTTCACAAGCCCTCAACACCTCTCTCTGAGGGGATGATTTTGCTCTCTATTCATTCAGTCAAAGAATTAAATTAAAGCAGGGGCTTGACCTGCTCCCCATGCCAGTGTGTACGTGACCGTGATGTCCCTCTGATGTTGCTTTTGGAGTTAGTGCGGGGTCCTGGGTTCACTCTGGGAAAGGCGCCCTTTCAGCTGCACACGGCGAGTTCCCCAGGCGAGTTTCTCCACGAGACAGAGACTCGGTGCTATTTAAAGAGCAGGTTTATTAGGGAACAGGACAGGGGAGCAAAGGACTCTTGCATACGCACAAGCGGGCAGGGACCGCTGCCCGGAAGGGACAGGTTTGCTGAGAGAGGCCTGAATGTTGCAAGGGGGCAGCCTGAGGAGAGCGGCCTCCGCTGAGGGAGGCCAGTGCAGAGAGGCCCGGCAGGTGCAGGTCACCGGCAGGTAGGAGGCTGCTGCCCTGGGAGGGAGAGAGCGGGCGGGAAGGAGCCCAGCCCAGGCACAGGTGGGCAGGCACAGGTGGGCAGACACGGCACCTGCTCTCTGTGGGAGGGGCTCACTCCTTTGTGGAGGGGGCTGTTTGCTGCTGATCTGGATAGCTCTGTGTAATCCTAAGGGACGGGAGATTTCACAGTGGGCCCGATCTCTGTATCTTCACGCTCAGGTCCCTGCTCCCGAGACTTCCTGCAGTCGTCTGATACAGCGGTCTGAGACCTGCTGGGCTTTATGCCTCGTGATAAGGCGCTCAGGGTCTTGACCTCTATGCCTGGGTCATGGTCATGTGAGTCCTTCTGCCCCCACCTCCTTGCTCGAGTCAGGATTTAACCTTGTGATGTCGCCTTAGGGGTTTCTGTTGTTTCCCCCACCTCTGTCTGGGCTGGCCTGTTCCCCTCGGGGCCTGTCTCTTGTCTCCTCTCGCTTGGCCCCACTCCCCCAACAGCCTGTCACGGCTCCCTTCTCTGCACCCCAGCGCCCACCTCCTTTCTCCTTCCATAGGCAGGACCTGTGGCATGGCCTCCCCTGCCTCTTCCCGTCCTTCCTGGGTGAGCGTCCAGCCAGGGCTGGACGCTCACCCTCCTCTGGCCCCAGCGGCAGGCACCTTATCCGGGTCCCCAGAGCTGCTGTTCTTGCACAGATCGGCCCCCAGGCCACCCCCAGGCTGCGGCACCCCCTTCCAGCACCCCCTTCCTGCCGGCCAGTGTCTAGAGCAGCTAGAATCTTTGTTGAGCAACTGACTGGGATGTGAGCTGGCCTGTGGCTTCCCCTCCCGCTCTTTGCTGTCCCTACATCTCACATAGTGCGAGGACATCTATCGGATCACACTACATGGCTCCTGAGGAGGTGTGTGAGTGCGGGGGGTGGAAACCAGGCTGCTTTGTGGGGAGGCGGCAGGGTGCTGAGGTGCGGTTTGTCAGGTGGAGAGATAACCGGAGTAAGGAAGAGAGGGGAGAAGGGGAAACTGGTTTGGCTGGTCGGTTCTAGGGCTGACTGGCAGGAACTGGGAGTGGCTCCTGCTGGGCCAGCCGGGATCTGCACCCAATTTGTTAGTCACAGAAAGGGCGCTGAAAGCCTCGTGGGTGTGGAAGAGACACAGGAGCCTGGGTCCAAGGGGAGCCCACCGGGCTGGGGGGGGGGCCTGTGGTCTTGGTGTGGGTTTTTTGGAGTTAGTGCAGGGTCCTGGGGTTCACGCTGGGAAAGGTGCCCCCAGAGCGCCCCCTTCAGCGGCAAGGGCAAGTTCCCCGGCGAGTTTCTCCACAAGACAGACTCAGTTCTATTAAGAGCAGGCTTAGTAGGGAAAGGGCAGCCATATTGGTGCCTTGCACGGCACCCGCAGGCCAGCAGGAGGAACTGCCCCTGAGGGAACAGGTTTGCTGAGGGGCCCGCGTGGGCTCAGGGGGCGGCCTGAGGAGCGCGGCCCCCACTGAGGGAGGCCAGGGCAGAGAGGCCTGGCAGGCGCAGGGCAGGGCAGGCAGGAGGCTGCTGCCCCGGGGAGGGAGAGCGTGGGTGGGGAGAAGCACCTGCATGGGCACAGGTGGGCAGGACTGCCCCCAGCCGGGGCAGAGGCCGCCTGATGGAGACACCTGCCTGGGAGGGGCTCCCTCCTTGGGAGCCTGGGTTCGTTGGTTTTGAATAGAATCTGGAAGGGGCAGGAGACCCCGCCATGGGCCCCACCTCCAAGCTTTGTCTTTCACCTTTGGGTCTGTGATAGACAGCCCGCAGCATCCGCAGCCTGCTTGGGTCTCGGGCAGTCTGGGCCCTGGCACTTACGGATCTTGGTTTCTACAGCTGGGCCAATGGCTGTGCTCGGCCCTTCTGCCCCAGACTCCCCGAGAGTCAGCCTGGCCTCTTGGGGAGCCTCCTCACCATTGCTTCGTCCGTCGCTCCGGTGCAAGAGCGTGGCCAAAGCCACCCGCCCCACCATGTTGGTAGCGAAGGCGCAAGTGTCTGGGGGTTTTATGCTTCGTTCTTTTGCTTTTTCAAGCTGTTACTTTTTGAAGATTTATTTATTCATGAATACAAGAGCTGGGCGCAGGCCAGAGGTGCAGCGGGTGAGAGGACTCACCAGAGGCAGCGGAGGAACAAAACAGGCGGGTTGGCTGAAGCACTGCTGGGAGGAGTGGGCGGGCAGGAGGGGTCTGCTGGGCTGCAGGGGCCAGCAGAGAGGGCCCCGCGCTGCAGTGGCTGCCGACAGCCTGGCCGCGCTGGCCAAGCCCTGGGCCGCGGGGGCCCTTGTGCTCCACTCTCGCTCCTCGTCCTCGTTGGGCGGCCGGGCCCATGCTCTCTCCAGGCTGCACCTTCGAAGGTTTAAGGACTCCGTCACGCCCCCTTCACCCCACCTCTCGCCTTCCTGTCCCCCGTCCCCGCCAGTTTTCCTGAACACCACAGCACAGTCAGCACTGTGTCCATATCTTTTTAAGACCTGATTTTTTTTTCTTTTTAAGGGAAAAGAACTGGGCTATGAAGGTCTCAGCAGACCAGCCCTGCACTCAGGCCTCCCCCAGGCCTGTCAGTGCAGGGAGGGCTGAAGAGGCCCCGGCCCCACGGACGGCTTTCAGCCCGCCTGCAGCCCACCCGCGCCCTCCTCATCTCCGCTGGGCAGGGGGGCGGTGCTGGCCGTCAGGGTGGGAGGCGGAAGTGGGGGCCAGGAGCCTCCAGTGAGGGGGTGCTGTTTCCTGGAGGGCTGAGGGTGTCAGGCTTCTGTTCTAGACTGTTTTGGTTTCCGCTGTGCTTACTCCCGCCATCACCTCCCTCCACCCGGGGAAGCCATTGTCTCTCGGAAGAGCTGTTTTAGGTCCCAACTGGTAACTGGGAGGATCAGCCTGCAGCAGTCTGGGCTGAGCTCAGAATTAGCACGGAAGGAGACCTTGGCCTGGATCTGGAGGATTCTGTCCTCTAGAGACCCTGCAATGCAAGGTTTAATATCACGCACACGCTGCCGCTCACCTGGCCCAGGTCTTGGCCGGCCCCACTGCGAAACTGACCCACTTAGTTTTCTGACCTGCCCTGCGCTGGAGTTTCCCTGTGCGTGTTATTGTGGGAAATTTTATGATAGGGAGACGCACGTGCGGTTGCTTTGATCACTGATCCGCCGGGCTGGCTGTTGACAAGGAGCACGGCCTGCCCGGCTGGGCCGACTCTGGCCACTGAGCAGGAGCTGCTGACAGGGCCGGGTCCCTGGAGCCAGAGTCCAGCCAGGTTTACCCTGTGGGGCGCCCACCACCGCCTACCTGCAGGCCTCTTAGGATGTGGCTGCCCCTCTTCCGCTCCCCTGGACCCCTCTACCTGGGGTGGGCCCCGTGGCCCCCAGGCTCCAAATGGCCACTTCAGACCTCCTCCTCCTCCTCCAATGGCATCAACTTGGGGGCTCGGGTGCAGGGCCCCACAAGGTCTTCATAGGCTGAGGCAGGCCTCTGTTGAGCCCCCCATCCCCTCCAGGGCCCCAGGACAGGAAGTACAGCCCTGGCTGGCCTGGGGAGGGGTGTTCTTGGGATCTCCCTGCAGCAGTCCTGGCTGCTTTCACAGTCATCAGGAGACCCCCCCATGCAAAGCCCCTCCCCTGTGCGGGCACCAGGCTGTCCTGGTTGAGAAGTCGCCCCGACCTCTCGGGACTCCTCAAAGGACAGGCCCCTTTGCCCAAAGGGGGTCTGAGCTGCCTCCCAGCTCCCCGGGGCTCCGCTCAGCCCGGGCCCTTCCCGCCAGAGCTAGATTTGATACGGGACAGGGAGGGGACACCGAGCGCAGGACCCTCAGACCTGCCTGCTGCAAACAGGTTCTGCCGTGTGCCATGCGAAGACAAAACACAGACCTGTCCGGGAGAGGGACTTGCCGACAGACAGTACAGGCGAGGCAAGAATGTAGTTTAAATCAAGCACCCAAAGTTCCCGTCGCCTCGTGGGTAAACGTCTGCCTGCACAGGACTGGCCCAAAGCAAGACCCTAAAGCCCGTCACAAGAATAAAGCACCTTCTGGCGGGGACCCGTAGGAAAAGGGTCAGAAGCGGCCAGACGAGTCTGGGAGGAGAAGAGCAGCATCAAGACCGAGATAAACGCTGCCACCGTCACCTCCCCACGGGGCGACCCCGCATCTGTGTCACCCAGCGCGGGGGGGCCGAGACACAAGAGCTGCCCTTCACCTGTCTGCACCTGGGCCCCGAAGGCTCCATCCTGGCTCCACCCTGCTTCCTTCTGCCCAGTCTCCTCTCCAGCTCCCTCCCCTCCCCGCTCAGCTCCACCTCCTGTGAGTGAGTCAGGGGGCCTAGCGCCTCCCCTCTTCTGGCGCCCCCTGTTCTCAGGCCCCCTTTTAGCGCCAGGCAGCAGGTGAGTTTTGTCAGGTCTCCAGGGAGGCAGGACTGTTCTGAGGTCAGGTTCTCTGAGGGCCGTTGGCCTGGCCCCTCCTGCAAGGGGCGTTCTGGGGCGATTTTACCTCCTCCTCCCCCAGCCCCACCCCTCACTGGTGGCTCCTCAACCGCAGTCAGTGAACTGGAGCGAGACCGTGATCACATGCGTCTCCTCCTGTGCCAGCCCCTCTGGGTTTAACAACCTTGTTCCCCGCCGTCCCTAAGAAAACCCCCGGGTGCTAGCAAAGCGAGCTGGCCCCAACCCGGACCCCCCAATCTCCAGATGCTGAACCCCAAGACGACACGCCGGCCCTCGCCCACGCCCCCTTCTGCTCCCTGTCCCTCTGATAAACGCTCTGGGGCCTCTGCCGAGCAGCAGCACGGGGTCTTTCAGACACGAGTCTGCAGCCAGCTCTGTTGGCCAACAGATTCAGTGACTTTCCCTCTCCAGCTGTTTCCTGTCACTGGCCCAGGGGACCGAGACCAGCGTTAGCGTTAGCGTTCGGTGTCATCACGGCCTGAGGCCGCGGCGGGGCCGCCCCCAAGGAGCGAGGCCCCTCCGGGACAGGCTCCCCGCCTCTTCCGCCTCATCCCTCGGCCCCTCTGGGGTTCTGGACCTTGGACCCGTCGCCCTCACCCGCTGTCACCTGCTGAGTCGCTGACCCTGCTGGACAGGCTTCCTGCCCTCTCCTAGGGCCTCCCACTGTCTCACGGCCTGTGGAGTTTCGCACCTCGCGGCCTGTGAGCCGCTGGAGGTTTCTGGAGAGGACCCAGGGCCAGGCTGACGGGCTCACTGGCTTCACGGTCCCGGCCAGAGCCCCCCGACCCCCACTCCGCCACCCCCTCGGCCTTGCCTCCTCTTCATTTCCCTGAGGAAATTGAAGCCGTCGGGACAGAATTTCCAGCGGCTCCCGGCCCACCCACCGCAGCGTCACCCCCATCTCTCCCCTTAGCTGGAGGGGCTGTGCACCCCGGGTTTCCCTGACCTGCCCCAGGGCCTTTCCCATGGCCCTCCGTCATCTCCCCGTTCAGGGTTTTGCCCTAAGGATCCAGGCTGGAAGGGGGTGACTGCAGCAGGGGAGAGTGAGAGGCCTTCCTTGCCAGGCTGGGGGTTCAGGCCAGTGGGGGGGGGAGCAGAAAGGTCCCCACACATGATACCCCACCGGAAATGCAGCCGACGAGCAGAAGACGGGGACGTTCTATTTTGGAGGCATCCCGTAAGGAAGGACAGTCGCGAGTGCGCAGACCAGGCAGGCTGCAGAGATGTGCGCTCAGCCCACTCGCGCTTAAAATAAATCCGGGTTCCTTGCCAGCTCCGAGCCACCAGGGGGCCGGTTCTCTGGAAGGGATGGAAGTTTGCGCTCTGGGCCTGGAGGGGGCTGAGGTGGGCCACCAGGACCCCGGCCCCGGGGGGGGGGGGGGTGTGCTCTCAGGTCCCCCAGGCCCTCCTGCGGCTCCCTCCCCCTCCACACCTGCAGGCCAGCAGAAGTTAGATTTGGGGGCTCCCTGGGGAGAGCAGGATGGGGCCCAGCAGGGCTGCTGGGAGATCAGGCGTCCGGGACCCCCCCCCCCCCCCCCCCGCACAGGGTGACCCTCACTCAGTGGCCAGCAGGCAGCTTGGGGGGAAACTGGGCTGACTGGGGACATAGTTCACAGGGGATCTGGGCTCACCGAAGGAAAAACTTAAGGTCCAAATGTGCCCCCCAAGTGACATGTTGAAGCCCTAGCTCCCAGCGTCTCGGATTATGGCCTTGTTTGGAACGAGGTCACACAGATGTGCCTGGTGGACATGAGGCCACGCAGGAGCTAGGGGCCCCAGATCTCATGACAGAGACTCGGGGAGAAGACGGGCTGGCGACAGGGGGCCCAGGCCACCCTCCCTGCAGAGGGCGCTGCCCCACCCCCGCCTGGCGCTCAGATGCGCAGTCCCAGCGCCGGGAGATGCCACTTATGGCCCTCCGAGGGCCGGGGCTCCCATCTGTGTGCCCTCCTCCCTGGGCGCCCCCACCCACGTGCCGACCTCTGTGGGTGCTGCGGGAAGGCCTGGGGAAGGTGTGTCCGTGGGGGCCGGTCACCGACAGGGCTGCGGGGGCCCGGGCGCTGCGCCTGCTGAGGGTGGGAGGCTTTGGGGCTTGTGCTTCGTCTTCCCGGTGACGGTGGGCAGTGACCCTCAGGGCCGCCCCACAGCCTCTCCTGCTCCGGTGGGTCACGAGCTGCTGCTTCGGCCCTTCCCGTCGGTCAACGCTGCCGGACACCTTCATCTCAGCCCTGAGGGGACCCCTTACCCACTCAGCCTCCATCAGGGCGGGAGCAGACTCATGGTCCCAAAGAAGTGTCCCCATCGCCCGACACTGACCAGCACTGGCCTAGGCCTCCCCTGTCCCCGTCACGGGTCCTCGACCCCTAAGATGTCCGTGGCCTCATCTCCCACTCCCGCAGATGCTGGTGGGGAGAGTGCCGGGCTCTCTGGGCGCACTCCTGTTCTCGCGGGGTGCTTTCGTGGTGGACGGGGCAGAAGCAGAGGGTAAGGGAGTGAGCTGCGGAGGCGGCAGCCAGATCAGAGGGTGCGGGGCTTCTGCAGAGGAGGGGCGCAGCCGCCAGAGCTGGAGCAGCGGGGACAGGCCCCCCTCTCCTCGGCCTGCAGACACTTGCAGTAAACCCTTGCAGAGCCGCTGGCCACAGGAGTGCAGGGGCTGAGGTCTGCCCCAGTGGGCACTGGCCTTTGCCCCAACAGCAGGAGGAGACGGGAAAGCCCTGGGCCCCCTCCCCCTGGAATGGGCGGGACTGTGACTGTCTAGTCCTTTCCCTGGGGACCCCGAGACCCTGTTTAAAGGTGCGCTGGCCTCCAGAGGCGGCAGCCCCACCCGCCTGCAGCCTCCGCTTAGCCCTTGGGACTCGGCTTCTGGCTGCCCTGGCTCCCCGAGGCCCGAGGCACGGTCTCTGCAGCAGCTTGTGGTCTCACCACAAACCTCCTCATCGTCTTCAGGTTACGCTCCCTTCACCTCCCAAATAACCAATCAGAAAAGTTCTTGCGAACAGCAGGGCAAAAAGTAATTCATTAAACTGGTTCATCTTTAATGGTGTCACTACCTTCTTTGGGGTGCTGATGAAAACTGGGTCTTAACCCCTTGAAGATACACAGCCAAAAAATTGCATGTAACTTTAGAGGGCGCGCAGACCTCCCCCCCACCCTCCACCCCCGCCAAAAAAAGCAGCCGATATTGCCCATGCCTCCGAAGCGTTCCCCTGCTCCCCAGCCTAGAGTCCTGCCCTTAAGCAATGCATCCGGGGGCTGCTGCTCCCCAGCAAGCCTGGCTCGGGGCGCCTGCCAGCTTCTTGCCCTTGTGTTTCAGGCTGCCAGGCTCCCTGGGTAGCTGACCTCTGCCTCAGTCACCCCGCCCCCAGCCCTGCCCGGAGAAATGGAGGCAGGACCTCCAGCCACCCGGCCCTCCACCTCTGCCCTCGCCTGCCCGACTGGTGCATTCAGGGGCTGTGTCAGGTCCTGCTGGGACACAGCAGCCCCTCCAGCCTCCAAGCAGCAGGCCAGGATGGCCCTGGGCCTTTATTCAGGAGGAAGGACAGGATACTCCCTGGCCCAGTGGGACATGTGACCTGATGAGTCTGAGTTTGAGGAGCCCGATGGTGACTGCCAGACATCAAGCTGTGCTGGAAGAGATGGGCTGTGGGTCTTTGCAGCTGGTGTCAGCTGCAGCTAGACTCATGTCCCTGGTGCCCCCCAGGCGGTCCTCGCCGCCTTCCGTCCAGGTGACACCTGCGGGGGGCCCCGGGAGGCCCCGCCCACGCGTGTGCAAGGCCCCAGCAGTTTGTGCTCCCCGTCCGCCCCTTTCCCGTTTCCCTGCACACTCTCAGTTTGGATTTTAAGTTCCTGGACTCTGGGAGAGGGGGCGTCTGAGAAATCGGGAGGACCAGGCGCCGAAAGATCAGCCTTCTTCCTCGCCCACGCTGGCGGGAAAGGGGTCCCCCAGGCCGGGTGTGACGGTTCATGCTCTCGGCCGGAAAGAAAATACGTCTTCCCTTTCCCAAGCGCTCGCTGGAGCGCGTCTCCTCGGGCCTGGAAGGCGGGCACAGAGCTGTCCCCGTATCTGGGGCTTTGTCTCCGATGGAAGTTACAGGTGTTTCAAGCCCTCCCAGAGTTGTCCCAGACATTTCTACGTGTTTGTCCTCATCACTCGTTTGAAGTTGAAGTGGTTCGAAGCCCAGATGCTGTAATTAAGATGCGAAGCAGGCACGTCTATCACAAACTTAAATGGCACCGGATTTCGTTAAAGTGCCTGCGGATGCTGCTAACTAGATTTCAGGAAGACTGGTGCCCTGGGGAATCCTGTTCACTTGGGGTTCTGTGGACTTTTCCGTGGCAGCTTTACTGAGATCTAAGTCGCATACGTTACAATTTATCCAGTTAGAGCGTAAGGCTCAGTGTGCATCTGTAGTGTATTGGGAGAGCTGTGCCAGCCTCGCCACCGCCACCGACTAATTTTAGACATTCTCATCCTCACCATCAGCAACACTATCACCTGTTGGCAGTCCCTACCCCTCACACCCCCCAGCCCCAGCTACTAGTCTGCAGTGTGCCTGTAAATTTGCCTATTCTGGGTGTTCTCTCTCAATGGAATATTTATGAGGTCTTTTGTGACTGGCTTCTTCCCGCAGCATCATGTTTGCAGGGTTTGTGCAGGCTTCTATTTTATTGTGTGCACTCGGAAGCAGGAAGCATCGCTCTGGGAAGGGTCCCGCTGCCCTGCTCTAGCCAGAGGGGCCTCGGGACTTCCCTGGAGGTGAAAGACTGCCTGCTCCTAGCGATCTCCCTCCGGGGTTCCTTCCTTCCTGTGCTCGAGGCCGGCTGCCTCTTGCCTGGGCTCTGTCAGGAAGTGCTGCTGACCAGGCTGTTCCCACATCTGCCCTTGGGGGCGATCAGCCGATCAGCTGGGGCACCTGTCTGCGCAGCAGCCCCTGTGTGGTGCAGGTCTCCTGGCGGCAGGTGGGCACTCACAGGACAGGACAGCACTTGGGGGAGGCCCCCTGCCCTGTGGGGTGACTCACTCCCGCTCTGGGCAGGTGGGCTGTGGGCAGTGGGTGCAGGGCACACCTGCTCCCTCTGAACCCCAGTGCTGGGGCCAGCCAGGGGCTCCCTCACCCTCCGGTTCCCAGGAAGCTGCACATACTTCCAGAGTGCAAGCTTGTCATGGGAAGGTCCAGCTCGCTGCAGCAGTGATTCGCTACTCAAAACCTCCACAGATTCCTTGGGGTGGAGCTATTGTCTCTGCTTTCTTTGCGAGTGGGTGGGAGCGGGTGGGAGCCGACGCCTGCAGTGAATGAACTCCAGCAGGCACTCCGCTCCACTGACGCTCCGCTGACGCCTGCTCTCCTCTCCTGTCTCTCTCCTGCAGCTCCCGAAGAAAAGGAGGTCATTAAAGGCCAGTACGGGAAGGTGACCGATGCCTACGGCTGCTTGGGGGAGCTCACGCTAAAATCCGGTGAGTGCCTTGCGCAGCAGCACGCGGCTGTCAGGAGCTGGCTGAGCCCTGCTGGCTTAGTTTGAAAAGGCGTCAGGGTCTTGGTGTTTTATTTTAGCCGCAATGTGAGCTTTTAACTGTCTCCTCATTGCCCTGAGCCAGCTGCTCAGTACCTGGAGGAGGTCAAGGTGGGGCAGCTGGTTCTCACCTGTCTGGGAGTGGGGGAGCCGTGCTTCTGGCCCTGGGAGCCGGAGAAGCCCCTTCCTCATGAGCCCATTAGGACTAGTAGGGGCTCACCCAGGGGGTGGTGTGCCCCGAGAGGGTGTCCCCAGGCTGGCAGTGAAGGCTGGGGGGGTGGGCCAGGTGCCGGGGGCTTCCTGGACGTGCGGGTGTGTCTGAGGAGAGTGGCACAGACCGCGCATGGCCGGCAGCGGGTGGGTGGCTGGAGGTGGTGTGCGCTAGAGCAGACGAAAGTGACTCAACATCTGGCTGCAGTCAGGCCTGAAAGGCCAGAGAACCAGCGGGAACAGTGGGCGGCCTGGGTCGGTGGGGGGCTGCTGCCTCCTGGGGCCACCACCTCCCTCTGCCGCGTCCGGGGCCCCAGGTGCGGTCGTCAGCAGTGCCGTCCCGGTCAGCCTAGCTCATGTCCGTCCCCCAGTGCCCAGGGATGGGGGTGGCGAGGCCAAAGCCCCGGGGCATCCCCTGTCCTGCACCCTGGCCAGCGGGGAGGGGCCAGCGGGGAGGGCAGGGAGCTGACCGAGTCCCCGAGCCAAGCAGGTGGCCCTCGTTTCCCACAGCAGCTGGCTCGCCCACCTGGGCTTTGAAGCTGCCAGGTCGGTGTTGCTGGATTTTTCTCATGCTTTTCTGGGTCTTTCTTTAATGAACGGTTTTTTCTGAACTGTGATGATGGCACGCACAGACCATGTCCAAACAGCACACAGGGAGCACAGGGTGCCTACCAACGTGCCTTCTCTGGGGTCTGCTCTTGCTGAGGGCTAGCGGGCGTCCCTGAGCCCCAAAACCCCGGTGCGAGGCCCTCCGAGGCTGGCTCACCCCCTTGTACAGCTGGGGTGCAGACGGGAGGCCCCGCTCTCTTCCACCCTCCTGCACACTGTTCCCTCGGGGCGCTCAGGGCTCCTTACAGGTGTTGCCTCTTGCGCTCAGACTGGGCAGCTACTTCTGGTGCATAAATTATCGGGGCTCGGGCGGCTCGGGTGGCTGCACCTGGGTTTGGGCTCCTTCCTGGCACCAGCGCCTCTGCCACGGGCGTGTCCTGAAAAGCAGGAGGCTGTGTCCCGAGAAATATGGCAGAGACAGGTGTCTGCAGCCCCCGGGGATGGGCGGGCATCCACAGGGCCTCCCAGGAGTTTGCACAGGGGAGACCAAGCTCCCAGGGCTGCCTCACCGTCCCCCAGCCTCACCGCCGCTGCCCGCCCCAGAGAAGCCAGGCTGGGAGTCTGCGGGGTGCCTGCAGGGTCTCTGGGCACCCGAGGGCACTTCTGACTTTAGGGTGCCACATGCTTTGGCCTTACTCAATCCATAGCCGAAGGTGTCCTGGGGTGTCTGGAGGACATGGTTGGGCCTTAGGATTCACTTTTCAAGCCCCTGTGGTAATGTTCGGGGGGTCTTCGGCTTTGGCATCGCTTCATATTTCCACCGCCTGCCCCCACCCAGAGCACAAATACGTTCTCACCTGTTGAGGGTGTCGGGCCGCCTGGGTGAGGTTGCAGCTTTCAGTTGCCCCCAAGATGACGGGCCTGAGTTGGGGTGGGCCCCCCTCTTTAGGGTTTTGTAGGCAGAGGGTCTCGGTACAAAGAAAGAGACTTCCTCCCAGCACTATCACCGCTGCGGCCTGAGTTCGATCCCCGGCCAGGGAGGGACCCCCAGGGCACAGCACACCCCTCCTGTCTCCCCACTGCCCCCTCAGCAGTGGGTTTCAGTCCATCTGCCTGTTCTGCTCCCCACTCTGTCTCTGGTGAATCCTCGCACCTCCCGCATCTCGTCTGGCAACCCCCCTTCTTGTATGCATAAATAAATAAAATTAAATCTTTTTTTTAAAAAAGAAAGAAATGAAGAACCACCCCCACTAACCATCAAAGCTTTGTCCGGACCCCTGGGTTTTTCCGGAGAGCGCCCCCGCCCCCAGAGTGCCAGCGGGAGTGGAGCCCACAGCCAGCAAGGGCATCGGCCCCTGACGCCGGAGCCACGGGAGGCGCAGCGTAAGGGTGCAGCAGTCCAGGAGCTTGTCCCTGTCAGTGTAGGGGTGCAGCTCCCCGCCCCCCTCTCAAGGCCTCTGTTGCGAGATCTCGAGACCCTTTGACGCGGAGGCCTGTGGGGAGCTGCTGTCTCCGCGAGCGTGTGTGCTCAGCCTGTGGGGCTGAGCCCTGCGAACTTCCCCGGACAGCCCACCCCATTCTGCTCCAGCCCCCCGATTCTGCTCCAGCCCCCCGATTCTGCTCCAGCCCCCTGATTCTGCTCCAG